TACTTAAATAGAATAACTATTATGAATGTTTTATGATTTTATTAAAACAAAGAGAAACAAATATATTCAGAAAAATTAGATTAAAATTGATTCTTAAATAAGCTGTAAATGAATTTAATTTTATTGCCAATAAAAATATAAAAGTATTAACAATATAAAAAGACTTAGCCATAAAATTGATTGAAAATGATTCACAAACTTAAACAATTTCATAAGAAATAACATAAATTATAAAATTAAAAATAGAACTTCTATAAAATTGGTATCAAAATACAATTGAAGATATTATAGTATTGATATAAAAAATTAGAGATACTAGATTAAAATTGGATAATTTTTAATACAAATAATCAGTTGGATGTATTTAATCTCTCATATTATTTTTTTATGCAGAAATACTTAATGATATTATATAAGCAAATGAAATTCTTACTCATACAAGAAAAAACACAAACCCAACAATAAAAGCCTCTTTTTCTAATAAAAAAATACGATATATGATTATAAATTTCTAAGATTCATAATATAATATTGAAACTGTATCTAGCAATGGTCCCTAACAATACAAAAATAAATTATTGAATGAATTAATTCCTTTTGGGGTTAGAGAACATCATGATGATCTAATTTAAAATTTATTAATAACAGGTTAATCTAAATTTACTAGAAATTTCAATAAAAATTATATTTTTAAAGATGGATTTATAGATTCCATAGATTTTGCAATTGATATTATTTTTACTCATAAAATTTAATTTATTACACTTTTTACTACAAGAAATATGAAAAATAATTCAATTACAATTATAACAAATGATAATTATGAATTAAAATCTATGTCAGAACCTTCTGATTCAATGCCATTTATAAAAAAATTATTTAAATTTGGAACATTTGTTAATAAAATAATAAATGAATTAAATTAAGTCAGTTAGTCATGTCTAATTGAAAGTTCCTTATACTATTCTCATCCAAATATAAGATCACGTTAAAGTTTTTATAATGAAATATCAGAATAAATGAATTATTATTGTGATGTAAATGTCATTATTAAATAAATTAATGGCCAAATTATATATTATATTTTAGAAATCGATAACTTTAGAAATTTCTTATCAATTAGAAAAGATACTGTATTATAAACTTTAACATCTTTTGCATCTATTAAAGGATTCAATATTAATTGTGATGAAATTAATTAGAATGAAGCTTTATTGATACCTTATTAATCTGATGAATAAATTAAAAAATTTGATGTAGATTTACATTAATTGATAACATCCAGAGATGAGGAAATATATTTCTTACATCATAATGATGTTGATAAGAATCAGTTAGCATATGAAAAGTCTAACACTATTAATGAATAACAATTCAAGAATTAGTAAGATCATGAGGAATTCATTATGGAGATGAAATCATAATAAAGTTCATCAATAGAATAAATAAGACAATCATAATTTATTAGAAAATATAGTTTAATAAATAGATTTAATAATCATTTACCTTTGAAGAAGCATTAATAAATACTTATTCTATTGTTTATCTTGTGTATTACTATATCAATTTTATTTATAATAATTGTAATTAAATTAACAATATTTTTTAGGAGTTATTAAGTTTAAATCTTATAGGATTTGCAAGAGATATTAATTTATTGGAAATTAAGAATTTATTTTTTTAACCTTTAGATTTATTTTTGGCTACTAGATGGAATTTATGGACATACAATTACGAAAAATAAAATCATATTATTACATAAGAAGAATATGATGAATTATCAAAATTTTCAATCTCCAATTTAGGAGAGGGATATGATTAGTTGAATTTCAATATGTAATCAGTTTTGTACAAATATGATTTGTAAAATTTGCTATAAAATAAGATTTTAGAGGTTTTTTCATACACAGACACATATAAAAATGAGAAATACAATATGTCTTTAAGAAGTGCTATTTAAATACTTTTAAATTTTTAATATATTCTAAAAATGAACTACGTTTATGAAAAAACGGTAAAGGCAGACAGTCCATAGATATTTTATAGTTTTAAAAATTATCCATTATTAAGGGATATACTTACTGAATTAAATGATGATATAATGGTTGCAACCATTGCTAGAGGATAATAATTTTAGTCAGAACTACTCACCTTTTTCATTTGTCAACAAGCAATATTATTTATGGTAATTCTAATAATATTAGGATTAAAACGTTTTACAACAAACAAATTACAACTTTTTTTATCTCTAACATAATTTGTAGATGATATTTATTTATAAAAAGAAATAGTTAAATAAAAATCTTTGTTAAATTTGCTATTAGAAGATAGAACAAAATTATTTTTTTATAAATTTAACCTTTTTGAAAAAGAATCTTCATTTTTATCAAAGAAAACAGATAAAACCGTAGAAAAATAAAAAACACATCGGATGCTTGATCAAAATAAGATTCCTATAACTTAATTCACTTTATTTCTTGGTATATTTTATATTATCATTCTAATATGCCCTGTTGTGAATTATGTTTAATATATGAATTATTTAAAAAAATATCCATAGACAGCTGCCTATAAGAAATAGTTAAGTGATTTAAGTGGTGATATACCTTTAATGTTTGCTTAAAGGGAAGTACTTTATGGAAGAAAGAATTATATGTATTTGGATTCAGCTTATTTTGATACAATATTCTAATATGTTTAAGAATCTTTGAATTCAACAATAGCTTTTACATCTTCTAATGTTGATTTCTCTAAGTAAATATTATATTTTACATAGAATATTAATGAGTGATAAATTTGAAACATTTTATAACTAGATTTAAGTAGAGAATCTATGTGAATATTTACCAGAATATTTGATAGATAAATCAAAATTATTATGTCCTATAACAATGAATGGGAATATGAAGAGAGGACTCAAAATTATGTTAGTTTATATCTCGAGTCTGATAGAAACAGATATGGCTATTAACAATTTTACTTATAGAGCACGTCCAACTTCTAATGAACTTGAAGGTGCCTATATGATATCAGAGATTATCAATGTTATAAATAAATCATTCTATGATGATTTGATCGATATTACAACATCTTTAGTTGAATAACAGATGGTAATATCGATTAATATATTTAGATATTCAATATCTTATATTTACTAGTATTGCTGGTTTTATTGATTATAATTATAACAATAATTAGACCAGTCATGTATAAAAATAGTAGAAATATCATTTAATTGATTTATCTCATTCCAGAATAAACTTTATATAATGATGAAGCATTTGAAAGAACTTTAAGACTCCTTTTAAATTTATGAACTCTTAAATTTATATTAAATTAATTAAATACGAAATATTTCATTTAAATTCATAATTCAATGGTTAACCTGTTTTAGCTAATTATTGAGAATTCCAATTATCTACATATACCTCTTATTCATCCTATTTTTCTTCAAAATATTGATATTCTTATTATTTATTATTTCGAATAAAATCAAGTTCTTTATTATAAACATTGATTCCTGTAACTTCAAGATATTCATTTGAATCAACATATCGTTTTTTTGGCTTGTCCTTTATTTTGTCTGTAAACATTTATTCTAACTTTTTACTATAAAGTTTGTTGTGTTTATCTAAATATAGTGGCATTTAATTTACTATTTGAGATCACTTTTTCTATTTATTAATAAGGATTTTCTATAATCTTAGTATTAAAGTTGCTTTAGATATCTGATAATACAAAATTCTCTTAATAAGCTAAATGTTCAGCATCAGGATCCTTGACAAATCGATTAACTAATCTACTAGAAAGAGGGAGACTCTTTTATTTAGGTTTTGTTATTAAAGTGAAAGGAGGTCTATCATCTTTATTATCATACCATCTTAGTCTCATATACCAAAGTCTATTATTGTATTTTTCATCTTCATTTTTTAAAGATTCAATTATGCTAATCTTTTAGTTTTTTTCCCTATAATTATCAGATCTAATCATAATAGTATTAAATGGATTTCTTTCACAATTTGATGCAATCTAATTATTGAAAAACTCCCACTTTTCTTTTTATAAATCAAACTAATCTAATATTCTTTTATCTCTTGTAACTGCATTTTAGAAATGAAGTGGAAGATTTTGTTCATATTTTAGTTTATCTTTTAAATTTGTTTCTATTCTTTTTTTAGCTTCAACCATTTTAATTAATGCTTCTTGTCTTGGTAACATTTTAAATTCTCCTCTTGGTTTTTTAGGTGTTTTTCTTTATTATCCCATTCCAGAGATTTATGATTATGATTACTATAACATAATTGGTTTAACTGATGATTGTACATCATCTGAAAAAGAATCATCGCCATCTCCTTTTTTTTGTTTAATAACAACTTTTTATCTGTTTCTATTTCTTACAGATAAAAATTATTCAGGTTTTCCAACAATAGACCATTTTACAATCTTTTCTTTTTTATCATCTTCAAATCTAGGCCCAATTTAACTATCAATGTATTTTTTTCTTTCTTCATTATTGACATCTATATAAAATTAATAATAAATACCATCAAAAATATTTCGAATACTGTGCATTGAATTCGGTTTCATGAATTTAGATGAAGTAGCAGTTTATGAAAATTTATCTTCAAAATTAAAATCACTACCAGTACAAGCAGCTGTAGCTAATGGCTTAAAGCTATCTTCATGAGATTTAAGACATAAGTCAACTTAATGAGATATAAAAAGTTTTTCTTTTTTATTCATATTAATAAATTTCAATAAGTCTTATCTACAGTATTTTAATACTCTTGTTATTCATTAATTAGTAAAGACTCATAAAAATAATTTAATCATGTGGATCTAATTCATTATCTTTATTTTTAGGAATATTTTATAAATTCATAAACTATTCATATTGAATATGTAATTGTAAGGCATATTAATGAGAATTTTAATTTTCTTTTAATTGTTTATAATATATTTAATTAAATAATTATAAAACATAAACTATTATTCAAAGTTCAATTATTTGTTGGTCTTTATAATTTTGTTCTTGTATGCTAATCTAAACCTTCATTCATCATTATGGGTTAGAATAGTTAAAATTTTTGAGATAATCTATGTGTTTTAGTCAAAGAATCTAGTAGTAGAGCTTCAAACTTCCTAACTTCTGGTGAATTGATTTCACTCTCATTATTGAAAACTTAATTAGATTTCATTTAAGCTTCAGAAACTGTAGGTAGCATAGAGGTTTGTATCTTGAGGTTAGGCTTTTTTTTAATGAGATTAATTTTGAGCTTATTTTCATTTATTTAAATCATTAAAACTAATTCTGATTTAGATTTGGAATTTATTCTTATTAATATATTATTATTCCATAAAATTTAAAGACGTATTTTAGCTCTAAATTATCAAAATAGTAATTATATTTAGAACCTTTTAATTTTATTATTGAATTTAATTATTAAATACAAAATACTATATTTATATATTTATTATTTTTGTTAATATTTGAAAAGTACTTCAAATAAGAACATTAATTAATTCTAATGAAATAAAACAATATTATTAACAATAATTATACTATTTAATTTATCATAATAATCTAAATAAAACAAATATTATTAATTCAACAACAACAACATTTATAATTTGATATTTAATATTGTTTTATTATTGTTTTATAAAATCATATGAAAAGCGAATAAGCATTACACTTGTTTTGTTGTGACAAAAAATAATTCAATACTCAACAAACCTGTAATAACACTGCCAGAATTGGATCAAATAATAGAAGAACTTCAATAACATTAAAAGACTTGAGTAGTGGAAAAAAGGACTTAAAATTGCTAATAAAAAATTAAATGACAAACCCAAAAGGATTTATATAAAATTGTAAGAGTTCTAAGACTTTAATCAAATAAAAAAGTATATTCAATTCTTTATTTAGGTGATGAACATTTAAAAATAACACAACCAATAGTTTAAAGAAAATCTGTCAAAGAAATAGATGGTTAATAAAATCTCAAAGAAGGTGATACTTATAAGTCCATATCACCTAAAGTTGTGATTAGTAATGATAAAATCAATGTTTATTTTGTAAAAGAGGTCAGTAAATACCACATAAATAATGAAAAAAAATAACGAAAAGAGGAAACAATAAGTACTGAAAATACTCTAATTCTATAAGAAATTTAATAGTAAAGAGTATATCTAAAAACATCTCAATAATAAACTACAACATAAGTAAATAAGTAAGTCTTCTCAAACATACCCAAAAGTATGTTAAGTAATCATAAAAGTTTTATAAATTAATCAACCAAAAAAATATAGGACATTAAAATTCACAAATGAATTGCTTAATAATTTTGACAATATATTGAGATATAAGTATAATTTTATACAGTTATAAAAATTCATTTCAGTTTCTCTTAAAATTATTGAATTAAATTGGAAAATAGTTAATTAAATTGTTTATATAATATCTCATAAAACAATAAAAGAGATGTGTGCAAATTGAGTTTATACTCATCTTGATGACATTGATATTGATCATTAATTTTATTATTCTTTTTACTTTATATATTATAAACTTAAGTTTATTTTAAACATAACCCATTTCATAAATGTTTAGTGTAAGGAAAATCTCAATTTCAATCTAGTAAAAGTAGCTAATAGATGAATTTGAGATTTTCATTTTACAATATCAAGCATTAGATATATTAGTACTAATCATTCTTAATTTATTTTTATTGAAAAAAAGCAAAATTCAATAAAATTTTTTAATCAACATCTCAAAGATATTTAATTAAAAGGGCTCAAAGTCTATAATTGATTTATTATTTATAAGTATTTTAACTTGTATTTTGTTTTTCCCAATTGCTTTTATATTAATTATTTCAAAGGAATTTAAAGAGTCTTTTCTAAAGTATAACGAAGGGTAAAGTAAACAGAGATGCAAATATAATTTTAAAAGCTTATTAAATGTTATTTCTTTATAAAAATATACGTTTCTTGGTCATTTAGGATTTTCCTATTCTGCTGAAACCTAAAGCATTGAGATTTTTTTATATTTCAATAAAAAAAAGAAGAACACATAAGACTAATCTTATTGTATTAATTTTGATAAGAATTCTAGGTATGTAATAAGAAAAGTTTGAATAATAATTTTGGAATTTCTAAAAATCTGAGTTATACAAATTATCGAATGTATAACATATTCTATATCTATTTATAGAATAAGTGATTTAAGAACTCAGATAATTCTGAGTTTGATAATTAAATAAAACAAACTTAGATGGGTCATCTATCATCATTACTAAAAAAGAATTGGATTCTATGGAAGAGAAACTGTTTCTGTTCAACTTGCGAAATTATTTTACCATTATTGTTAATATTGGCATTGGCTGGAATTAGGTAAAAAAATTTTTTAATTTTTTAGAGGTGTTGTAGAAAAGACTAATCTTGATGAAACAGCCTTTATATAACCAGAACTTGAATGGAGATCATCAGATCCCAATGTTCCAGTGATTTTACCTCCTTTGATTGATGAAAATGATATAGAAATGAAACTTAAATTTATGTAAAAATGGAATGATACATTAACATTATTTGAAAACTTAAAGGTTTTAGATAGTAGAAGCAGATTATAACTGTTACCTAAAATGAAGTAAAAAAATTATACAATTTTAGAAATTGCATAGACAATTACAATTACTAATAAGAAAGATTTTGGCTTAATGGTCATGTAGCACTTGGACCTAATGAAAATAATGAGGTTGTGAAGGAATTAAAATATATTTTTGAAAGTAAAAACTTTTTTGATTTGATTAGATTACTATAATTATGAAACAATGATATTCAATAGTAATGAAGATCTTAATGAATATACAGCTGATTAGAATTATGGAAGAGATGGAGTTCCTAGAATATGTTTTGGAGTGATGTTTAATGAAAATGCTGGAAATAATATTTATGATTATCAATTGCGATTTAATTCAAGCGGATTTAATAGTTATGAAATTCCTCCAACAAATTTAATAGAAGTGGATCCAATAAAATATTAAGATTATGAAAAAGCTAATGCATATTGGGAATCTGGTATGTTAACAGTATAAACATTTGTCGATAATATCATTTTGAGAATTGAAACAAATAATTAAGCTACTATAACTCCTAAGTTTTCTTATGGTATTTTATAATTAAATTCAAATAGTTCATTAATAGGAAGGAGTAAAGGATGAATTTGCAACATTTTTAAGAGGATAATTTGGTGTTTATTTGATATTACCTTTAATAATCATATATTTAAGAATGACTTATGCCATGATTTATGAAAAAGAAAAAAAATTAAGAGAAGGTATGAAAATGATGGGATTAAATAATACTTCATTCTATCTATCATGGATTATCTAATATCTAATAATATATACAATTATTTCAATACTAGCTACAATATTATTATCTGCTATAGTATTTACACATACTGATGGATTTGTATTATTCTTAAATTATTGGCTATTTTGTATAGTATTGATATTTCAATCAATGTTCATTAGGTATAAATTAAATTTAATCATAGTGTATTTTTTACAAGAGCATTATTTGGATTAATTGTAGCCATAGTTTGGTATTTATTGATGTACATGGTAATCAGTTTAGTTGGTAGTGGATCAGACATAGTTCCTGAATCATCCTATTGGGGAGCCTCAATATCTTCTCATGCTGCTATGTCTTTTGCATTTGATGTTATGGTATTATTTGAAGCTCAAAGCAAAGGTGTTTCAATGTCAACAATATCAACTAAAGTTGAAAACTATGCTGTAAATATAGCTTTAATAATGCATATCTTGAATATATTCTTTTACTTAATATTGTCAATATATTTAGATTTAGTATTTCCAAATGAATGGGGTAAGAAATTACATCCTTTATTTTGCATACCTTATTTTAATAGATCACACAATAATTAATAGTCAAAATTAATGAAAAAATCATCTTAAGTCCATCCAGAAAGATATGAAGAAGTAGAATAAGCTTTAAAAGATTAAGAAAATAGAAAAGAAGTACTTTAAATCTCTAATCTCACTAAAATATATCCAAGTGGTAAATAAGCAGTCAGTAATGTAAATTTGACTATGTATGTTGGTTAAATTTATGCTTTATTGGGACATAATGGAGCAGGTAAGACTACTACAATTTCAATGTTGACAGGTCTCTTAGATATTACTGAAGGAGAAGCAACAGTATTTGGATATGATGTTGAAACTTAAATTGAAGAAATTAGATAATTTATGGGAGTATGTCCATAACATGATATTTTATTTGATAATATGACAGTAAAAGAACATTTGGAAATGTTTGCAACTTTTAAAGGAATGAAACCAGAAGATATTCCTGCAGCTGTTAGAAGAATGATTGAAGATGTTGATTTATTAGAAAAGACTGATTATTTAAGTAAGAATCTATCTGGAGGATAAAGGAGAAGATTATCAGTTGCTATTGCATTTATTGGTAATTCTAAATTAATATATTTGGATGAACCAACTTCAGGAATGGATACAAGTGCAAGAAGATATATTTGGGAAATGCTTAAAAATTATAAAGAAGATAGAATCATAGTCTTAACAACACATTTTATGGATGAGGCTGATTTTCTAGGTGATAGAATAGGTATAATGGGAGAAGGTAAATTATAGTGTTCAGGAAGTAGTGTATTTTTAAAGAATCAATTTGGTAATGGTTATAATCTAACAATTGTAAAAGAAAGTACTTTAACTGATTCAGATCCTATCATTGAAATTATCATGAAAACATGTCCAGAAGCTATTTTGATTTCTAAAGTTTCAGCTGAAATTCTTATGCAATTACCTTTAAATTCAGTTGATAAATTTCCAAAATTATTTGCAGAATTAGATACTAATTTAAAAGCTTTACATATGTAAAGTTATGGTATTAGTATTACAACTCTTGAAGAAGTATTTTTAAAGGTTGCTTAAATAGGAGCTGGACATCATTAAGTAAATGATTATATTGAGATGGAAGATAAAAATAAATAAGCAGTTTAAATTGATGATTTCGATATTAATTAAATTAGAGTTACAAATCCTACTCAATTATTTTTCAATCATACTTTAGCTTTACTTATGAAAAGAGCAAGATTTTTCAAAAGAGATGTAAAGAGTTTATGTTGTGAAATCTTATTACCTTGTTTGGTTGTACTTCTTGGATTGATTTTAATGACAATTGAATTTATAACTGAACCAAATATTATTGTTTTAACACCTCCATCTGAATGTTATGGTAATGGAATTTAATATTTATGGGGAGGATTAAATGACTAATCTTTATTTTCATAAATAGATTTTGAAATGTACAATTCTACTATTCAAGTTTTTGGAGATGATAGTCTAGATAATCTCAAAAAAATTGATTAAAGTTACTATGATACTTTTGATTAGAGATCAAATATTGGATGGTATTATTTGACTAGCAATTCTAATGATTAATTTGAATATTACATGTTTGTCAATACAATCTTTAGAGAAGCTCCACTTGTTTTATAAAATTAAATGAATTAAGCTATTTTAAGAAAAGTTACCAATAACAATAATTATTAAATTAAAGTTACTAATTCACCTTTCAGAAAAACATATGAAGAATTGAATGGATCAAAAACAATAGCTGGATTTTTATCTGCTTTAGTATTTTCTATGGGTATGGCATTCATTCCTGCATCTTTAATATCATATATTGTTAAGGAAAGAGAAATTAATATAAAACATTAATAATTAGTATCTGGTGTTTCAGTAAAAGCATATTGGTTTAGTAATTGGTTGATGGATTTAGGAAAGCATGTAATTCCAGCAGTTGTATGTTGTCTTCTAATTCTAGCATTTGATATATAGGCATTAATAGAAGGAGAAAATTATGGATTTTCATGGTTAATCTTCTTTTTATATGGGTGGGCAATAATCCCTTTTTGTTATTTCTTTAGTTTTGCCTTCAGATAACAAGGAAATGCAATGTTATTAAGCTTTTTCATACATTTATTGGTTGGATCAATTATAAGTTTGATAGTTTATATTTTGAGATTGATATCATCTACAAGAGATGCAGCCACTGTTTTGTAATGGATTTTCAGATTGATTCCATCATTTTCATTTGCATATGGTATATTAAATGCATGTTCAAAAGACACATATATGGTAATGGAAGGATGGACAGAAATGAAAAGTACTTATGATATGGCAGTAAGTGGAGGAGATGTACTGATGCTTGCAATAATGGGAGCATTTTATTTAATTTGTGTATTCATTGTTGAATACTTTGAAGATAATGGATAATTGTAGAAACTCGGATCAAGTGAATCCAGTATCCCTTACATTCCAAAACCTATTGATGATGATGTTGCTAAAGAAAAATAATTATGTGAAACCTATAAACCAGAAGAGAAAGCAATTCTTGTAAAAGATATGAGAAAAGTGTTTATGTTGGGTGAAGGAAAACATAAAGTAGCAGTTGATTAAGTTAGTTTTGCTATTGATTAAGGAGAGGTCTTTGGTTTATTAGGAGTTAATGGAGCTGGTAAAACTACTACCTTTAAGATTTTATCAGGAGAATTAAAGCCTACTAGTGGAGAAGCATTTATTGCAGGCAAAAGTGTTATTAATGAATTAGAAGCTGCTAGAGTCAATATTGGATATTGTCCTTAATTTGATGGACTTTTAGATAATCTTACTGTTAGAGAACATATAGAACTATTTTCAGATATTAAAGGAATACCATATTATAAGAAAGAGGAATTAGTTGAAAAGAAATTAAATGAAATGGATTTGAAGAGATTTGAAAATATTCAATCAGGTTAACTTTCAGGTGGAAATAAAAGAAAATTATCTGTTGCTATTGCTATGATTGGAAATCCTCCAATTGTCTTTTTAGATGAACCTTCTACTGGTATGGATCCAGAAGCAAGAAGATTCATGTGGAATGTTATTTCAAGAATTGCTACTCAAAGAAAATAAAGTACTATTATTTTGACTACTCATTCTATGGAAGAAGCAGAAGCATTATCAACTAAAATTGCTATTCAAGTTAGTGGTAATCTTAGATGTCTTGGATCTGTTTAACATATCAAAAATAAATTTGGTAAGGGATATGAAATAGAAGTCAAATTAGAAAAACCATAAAAACATGAGATTTAAGAACTAATACAATAAATGGGATTGTAAAACAATACTAGATTGGATCAAAATACTACAGTTGAAATATTGAAAAAAATCAATTCAACTCATTTAGAATAAGAAATAACAATGAAAGGTTCTGGATCACATATTTATAATGATATTAGAAAACCTAATGGATTAGCTATTGAAACTCTAGCAGAATATGTTATTGTTGAGAAAATGGGAGATCTTATGAAGAAATTCATAGAGTAGAATTTAGGATAATTTGAAGTTATTGAACATTTCCAAACATTTTATAGATTTAGACTCCTTGGATAGATTACTGTGAGCAAACTCTTTGAAGGATTTGAACAAAATGTAAATTATTTAATTAATAAATTTAGAAAAAACAATATAGAATTTCCCAATACTCCATTAAATAAGCATCAATAGAACAAATTTTCAATAATTTTGCAATTTAGGATTCTCAATAACAGCAATAATAAGAGAATGTTCAAGGGACTCAAATTGCAGTGTAAATCTAATAAAATTCTTGATTTTTTAATTTATATTGCTCTTTATTATATAAAATAACATAATCATTTGATATTTAATTCACTAATCTTTTTTTCCTCTTAAACTTTCTCTTTTAATACTACTTAATCCCCTTTAAGTACAATCCAATCATAATTTTTATAATAATAATGATATGGAGAACCTGGAGGATGTAAGACGTAACTAGCTTACATATAAGATAGTAATGTTTCACCCCCTTTTATTAATATAATTAATACTGGTTCCATATATTAATGTATAGGTTGAAGAATATGATATCATAGGCTCACAAGTTACTCTAAGATAAGCTGAACCAATTTAAGTATTAACATCAAAACCGCTAATTCCTTAGGCTAAAATATTGTTTCCTGGTTCCAAAGTATATATTGATGGTACTATTCTTGTGAATTTTTATGCTCTGATAGCTAATTTATTTGAATTATCAAGATATTGATTAAAATAATTATGATAAGCTCCAACAGATCCAGCTAGAGTTAAATAATTATTTGAAATAAAATATGCGACTGTTAAAGATCTCACATGACAGAAATCTCTTGTAGAAAACCTTACATCCATACTTGATGATGTTGGTATTCCCATCACAATCTATATACTTGTGTACAATGAATCAATAATTTCAAAGTCTGCACCTACAATAAATGCTGTAACTTTTGGGGCTGGATACTTTGGATAATATGAAATCAAAAAGTCTTAAGATCTTTAACCAAAACCCTATCTTAATTAATACAAATCTTCATAAGAATATTGCACATATTAAATTTCAGCCTCGTCATCAACAATTGCAATCCATCTTACACTCATTATTGGTATTATTGCAGGTCCCCATATTACATAGTTTATGTAAAAACCATTAATTGTTATGTCTGATACATATGTTTAGTAATTAATATTTTTTCCTTTACTCCATTGAATTTCCTCATGCATTAATAATACTTATGGGCGACTACTATGATTTTATCATATACGCACTAAATCTTCGTGGAAATACTATTTAGGTGTATTACCTAATAGGAAATGAAGGATTTGTAAACTCTGATTATTTATTTATTGTTCGATCTATCCCTGATTACCATTCTGAATAGTATTCAGATCCAAATTATGCTGAAGAATTAACAATGCACAATATTACTATTAAATATAACATATTAAATATTAAAAATTAAGAAAAACGTAATTTATATATATTATATGTATTTAATCTTAATGATATTATGCAAAATTAAATAAATCACTTTAATTTTATTAATGATTCTAAAGTTTAATATTTTATGATATCTTCTGCTCGTTTAGAACTCTTACTTCTTTATTATAATTCTAATGGTTCTATTTATTTAGATTCTTTTAATTATAAAAGAATTATATACCTCTATTCTTTTAAATCATACTATTATTTTATGAACTATTCTTTGATATTGATTAAAATTAATCCAATCTTTTTTTATCCTATTATGATGCATTCTGAATCAGATCATTAATAGATGATAATGAATTATGTTTAGTTCTCATTATTTAACTGTAAATATTATTAAAATCTTTTTGTTGCATAGATTTAATCACTTCAGATTTTTATTTATTATTTACATTAGTGATAATACTATAATAATTTAATTTTTGGGATGATTATGTAGGTAAAATAAGTTCTTATTATTCTTTTATAAATTATTTTGGATTTGATTTATGTTCAGAATGAGAATTTATTTACCTTTAATCTAGATTAAACTTTTAATTAGGTCCATTTTTTTATTAATTTGATGATTAATTAGATTGTTTATTAATTAAAGCTTATAAATAGTCTCGTTAATTAGAGTCTATTGATTTTCTTTTGTTTTCTTTTTCTAAATTGGATATTGTTTACTTTAAATTATTTACTTCCTATTATAATTATTACTCTTTTTCATTCAATTCTTAATTTTCTCTTTTCAATTTCTATCATAATCAGATAAAATGCATTTACACTTATATTATTTTTAGTTGTTTCCAATAATTCTTATCTAATTTGTTCACTCTCATCCAATTTGCTTTATATAGATTCTGCATATAATTTTAATTGTTACTCAACCTAAACTATTTTTTAAAATCATTACGCTAATGTGGTTGCGAATTTCTTACTCATATTTTATAAGAGTTTATTCTAACTTGTCATATTCTTCATCATCTTTAAACATATATGACTTATTCAAATCGTTGCATTTATCCAATTTCCTTTGGATTTTGAATAATAATTTTTTACTTACAACAGTTTCTTTTCTATTTTCAGCATTAGTTTTGTAAATATTACTTTTATAATACCAACCAAGTATGACAAACTTTCATAGTCTTTCAATTCATTTTCAATTTAATTTAACTCTTCCTTTGTTTCAATGTATTTCTCTACATAGACTAAAATTCTCTCCAGTAAATCCTTTAAGTTATTTTCCAATTCCTTGTCCGTTGTTGTAAATGTATTTATACTTGTTGGAGTTTAGTCCATTTATTAATAAATTATATTTTATTTTCTTATAAACTCTAAATAAATAGAACTTTTTTCCATTCTAAATTAATTAATCACTTTCAAATAAAATAATTTGATTGCAAAAATAATAAGAAATATCATTAAGTTACTTTGAAAATAATTTATTGGTTAATTATAAATTAATAAAACCATATTAATTTTATATAAATAATTTTAAAAAGTAAAGATACACAAGGTTAAGATTAAAAATTACATCCATCTCTTATTTAGATTTATATATATATAATCAATACTTAAAAAAAGTAATCATTTATTAGTTGACACTTAATAATTATCTTAAGATATTGGATTTTTAGTATTTTATTTCTAGATTAAAGGAGTTTTTATATTTAAAAAATTTTGTATTTCCTTAAGTATCTATGTAGCTAAATCAACAAATGAAACAATCAACATTGGAAAAGCTTCCTAAAAATTTGAATCTGATTAAAGTTCAGTCAATATTATATTTGATATTTTTTACATTAATTATACAAAGGTAATGGCAAATTTCTCATCATTATGAATTAAATAATAATCACTTTCTTCTACTCTCTTTATTATTTTTTACTCTTTCATTATTCTTTTAATACTATTCTATATAAGAATATTTATATTTGATCTCTAGATAATGCAATTATTCAATTATTCTCTTGTATGAGCTGTTAAATCATCTAAATTACCAACTAATCCTAAAAAATCTGTGAATTTTTTATAATATTAAAGTAATTCCTTAACAGATTAACCAGTTTCACTTCTTTATTCTTGCGGTCTTGATTATGGTTAACTTATTGATTACACTTGCAAATAAGGTTATTCAAATATATTTAATTCTTATTATTGTTATCTCTATTTTGATTATGGTTTTGTTCCAGAACATGCCCCTCCCATATTCGAAGACAAAGATAATAACTTAATTTAATTACGTAAAATTTATATAACTTAATCAATCATATTCCTTCAGCTGTGAATTTTATTAAATATATATAGATTTATACATATTCTTATATGATATAAAATTATAGATATAATTTTCATATCAAACATAAATAGTATATTTTCTGAAATTAATTATTGAGTCATAATTATTTATATTATGTATTCAATATTAATTCATCTAATTTTATATAAAAGACCTAAAATAAATAATTTTTATGATTAGTAATTCTACATAAAGTTAACAAATTTTTAAACATAATTAAACCATAAATACTAGAAATTGCCATTATGAATTGTAAATTAGTTATTATTGTTATTAATTTAATAATTTGAATAAAAACAGTTAATCTATCTTATAACTTAAAATTTGAATCATCTATCAAATATATTAAACTATTACTTAAATTTCTTAAGAAATATTAATGATTGATATTTTAATATATTTAATGATGTTATTTACTAACCTGTCATTCCATTAAATGTTATCATTTATAGATTTTTCTATTCAATCAAATGCAATTAAAAGATTAGCATATCCTAATTATTTTTGTGATTTTAATATTTTCATTTAATGTTGATTTTTTGTTTTTTAATTATGTACTATTCTAATGAATAAATTTATTGATTAAATTTAGATTATTTATTAATATGATAAAATATAAATTATGATATAAATTTATTTGTCAGATTATTCTTCTTGAATTTTGATTTTAAAAACATTGGATTTAGACATAGGAGGGTTTTTGTAATGAAATAAAAAAAATATAGAATATTTGTGGAAATTAATAATTCTTTAACAAATAATATTTATTAATTATCTATTTAAATATTTTATTTTACAACTAAAAAAAGATTGTTATATATTTAATGTTTTCCAATATTTTAGATAATTAGGAGTAAAATAACAACTAAAAGAATCTACCAATTTTATTGTTTCTAAATAATTAGAGGAAGAGATCAATTCAATATGTTAGATTTAAGATGCAAACAGTAAAAATTTATAAAACCTTTGCTTAATATCATGTATTATTTAATTTTATCATTTTTCTAGGTGGAAGTAAATGAGTATGGAAAAATATGGATTATGGAAATACGATATAGTACCCTGTGGTAATTCTATCAAAAACTTAAGAAATATTACAGTATCAAACTAACATTTCCTTCTAAACTGTTATTTGGAAACTTATGTCCAGATAATTTGAAAAAAAGAGCCATCAGAATTTAATAGTTTCTATAAGAATTAGGCAGGTAAATAGATAATTCATTTTATATAGTAATTATAAACTAATTAATTCTGATGAGTGTTGTGAATTTCTAACAAAGCAACAACATTATGGAACTAGCATAATCGATCTTACTGAAGTAGAAGAATTGATATTAGATGATTGACTAATTTTTATTTATAATTAATTTTCTTACTTTTAACAATTATAATACTTATCAATGCTCTTGAATTAATATAGCAATTAATAATATAATGGAATCAACTCATATAATATTAAATTTTGTAAATACTTTTGCTTAGTAAACTTCTTTAATTTTTTAAATCAATATATAAGATTGATATTAAAGCTTGATTATGGAAATAATATTTTAATATATTTAATAAATTGATTGGAATTGGATAATTTTTAGATATTATTTAAATCCATTAACAATTTCAAATATGTTTGAAAGCAAGTTTCACTCGAAAATATCAAGACTATTAAAATATACTTGATATAAAAAAGTTACTTAAATAAACTAACAAATTTTCTTAAATTTTTTCTTGATAAAGAACAATTATGAAATGATATTTTTTATTCAATTGAGAGTTTAATTAAATAAATTTAGATTTAAAAAAGTGACTTATTATCCAAATTAATCTTATAGATTAATGAGAAATAAATTGTAAGTCATTTTTCTATTTCAAAAGTAAATATTTATTTAAAATATAAGTCATAACCAATTTTATTTTAATTAATGGGTTTTTAAGATCATAATAAAAATTAGAATCATATTGATAAACTTCCTATGTAATACTGCACAAAAAATCAGACCAAGCATTATAGAAAAATAAAATTATTATCAAATTAAACTTATGATTAATGTAATTTATTTATGTCATTAATAAAAAAAATTATACATCTAGATTAATATTTAAATAAATCATTCTTTCAAAATAAAGAAATAATAGAAATTATTATATAGGAAGTAATATTAAATAACTAAATATGTTTCTTATCAAATTCAAAAAAATTAAAAGTAAAAACCTTGAATTATATTCTGTCTTATTGAAATTAGTATCTTAAAGGAGGAATATAGTTTTAAGGCAAAAAATTAAATTATACTATTGAACTTAGAATAATATTTCAAGGATCTTTCAATTTAAAATAAACACCTAATAAAGTTATTATTGTTGACAATATGTCTAAAAACTTTAAAAAATGAATTCATATTTAAGGCTGATTATTATATATAGATGATAGGGAATCTAAAAATCTTAAATTTTACTTAAAGGTGTGTGTATTTGATTAGGAGATATAGAAATCGAAGTAAATTTAGAGTTGCTTTGAATTAATTAAAAGATCAAATGATAGATAATTAGACATTTTAAATCCATATCAATGTCCTTTATTAAATTTTACAATAATCAATTTTTTAATGGATATTAGTTTATTTTTATTTTTATGTTCCCCTTTAATATTTGTTAAAATTTGTGATAAGATCTCAAATTTCATTATTCGAAAAAGATAGAATATTTATTTTTATACTTATTTAATGAAAAGAGTTTATTATTTAGAATAGAATTACAATTAAAATTGGATTTAGTTTCTAAAAAGTTTAAAGTTAGTGAGTGAGTATATATTCTTTTAATTTTGAAATGTAAATTATTACAGAGTAGAGTATATTCTAAAATAAAATATAATTTATATGAATCAATTTGAATCCACTGAGGCAAGAATTTTATACCTTATCTATACTCTCTATTAGAACAATATGATCTCTTTAGATTAGAAGGGCATACTAAAAGGTACTAATAGTGTAATCCTTAAAGATTATTTAATCACAAAAGAAAATGGCAGATTTATGAATGCGATAACTTCATTTGAGAAATCCAAAGATATTGATTAATTGTCTCAATTCCTGATTTAATTTGTTGATAGTAAGTTACATAGTTAATCTTAGTGGAGAACTCATTATCAGACTATGTTTCAGTGGATTCTTATAAAACAATAAAGTCCTCGAAACCATGTGAGTTATTAAAGGAAACTACTTAGAGTTCGAACACAAATTCTAATTAATATATACTAATTTCGCCTGTCTTAATTCAGAAAAAGAATAGAGACACATAATTTATCTCTAGGAAAGATAGAAAATACTTAACTTAAATATAATGATTTATTTTATTAATGGAATAATTATTGCCAATACTTATTCAAGAATATAATGTCTTAAAGCAATATGCTAAAGAGTTTTACAAACAAACATCAATGCATGAATACACAAAATCTTTTGATATTTTTGATACTGCTATATTGGTGTCAATTATAAGTGTATTAGGACTATGGGCATTAAGGAATCTTAGATTTCCAAACAAAGATTACAATTAAAGTAAGAATAAATCTCATTTATAGGTTTTTTTGGATACTTTAAAGCTTAAATATTTATATTCCTAGTAAATTATTGTCCAGGAGTCAACTCATATATTGAAAAATAGAAAGCTATTGCTTTGGAATCTTTCAGCAGTTCAATGGAAAAGATGACATCCAAGAAAACTTTAAAGATTCCTGAAAATGGAATTGATTCTGATACTATGATGGATAAAATGAATGAATGGATAGAAAGAGATAGTAAACATAATGGTAGTGGTAAAGTTTCTGGGTCATTGTATGTAATGCCAGATAAATAATTTATAAAAAATGCACAAGATTTTTGTAAGCATTTCATATATTCAAATCCTATGCATGCTGATCTTTGGCCAGCTACCAGATAGATGGAAGCAGAGGTTATTAGAATGACTGGAGATCTATTTGGATAAGAAAAAGAAGGCATAGGTATAGTCACAACTGGAGGAACAGAGTCAATCATTTTAGCCATGTTAGCCTACAGAAATTGGGGAGAATCCTAAAAAGGAATAAATAAGCCAAATATGTAAAGATTTAATATATTGTAGAGTCATACCTGAAACAGCACATTCAGCTTTTTATAGAGCAGGCGAATATTTTAAAATATAAGTGAGAGTTGCTAAAATAGATTAATCATCTTTTTAAGTAGATATTAATGATCTTAGAGCAAAAATTGACTCAAATACAGTTTGCATTGTAGGATCTTTCCCAAATTTTGGATATGGAACCTCTGATCCAATTGAACAATTAGCATCAATTGCCAAAAAAAAGAAAATCGGATTGCATGTAGATGCATGTTTAGGAGGATTCACTGCTGTTTTTGCAAAAGATCATGGTGTCGATCTAGGTAAATTTGATTTCACTTTGGATGGAGTAACATCTATCTCATGTGATTAACATAAACATGGTTTAGCACCTAAAGGAGTTTCTACTGTTTTGTTTAAAACTAAGTAATTACGTGAGCATGCTTTCTTTTCGTTAGCAACTTGGTCGGGAGGAGCCTATGCTGTTCCAAGTATGTAAGGGTCTAAATGCGGAGCGAATGTAGCTGGTGCATGGTTCACTTTGTAATCTATTGGTAAGAAAAAGTATATTGATTACAGTAAGAAAATTATGGATGCCACCTAATCTTTGGTAAAATCATTATCAGAAATACCAGAAATTAAGGTTTTTGGAAATCCTTAAATCAATTGTGTTGCTTTTATGAGTAAAGAAACTTGGCTTAATGTTTATGCTATTCATGAAATCTTAACTCACCAAGGTTGGACAATTAGTAGTGTACAAAAGCCAGCAGGTATTCATATTAGTTTAACCCTATAAAACATTGGTAATCTTAAATAATATGTGCATGATATAAAGGCTGCAATTGAAAAAGTAATCAAATTCTTAACATCTAGATTAAAGCCAATCCAAAAGAATATAAAAAAGGTGGAGAAATGGGAACTGTATATGGTACAACCTAAAGAATTCCTGATTCTAAATTAGCAAACTAAGCTATAAAAGTTTATTTGGATTCATTATTAAAGATATGAGATAACATTAATTTGTTTTAATAGTACAAAATTGGTTGAATTTAGATATTAGTTCTTTTCTAGAAGTTCTTCTTATTCAGATAAATTCTTAATTTAATTGAATGAAGGAATTAGATTATATATTAATTAAAAGATTCTTAACTTTTTGAATATCTTTATTTTTTATATATAATTTCAATTATATAAACTTAGTTTATTCAATAATAATTTTTTTGTTTCTTGTTCTCTCTCCAACTAAATACGTATTTCATTTAATTGTTTTCCTGCTTCTCTTCTTTAAGTTTCTAAATCTTATTAGTATTTTTATATTTTTTATTCAAAAGCTTTTTTCATGGTTTCAAATTCTAATTTTAGGGCTGCTTCATAAGAATTTGAAAATTATTCATCAGTTGTGTATCGCTTTTAAAATTACTGATAGATTTCATCCTAACTTAATATATTCAACTACTTTAACTTTATTTAACCTATCTATGGTTTCTTTCCATTACTAAACTTCCCTTTATAAACTTTCAATTATTGTTTATTTTTCCATCAATTAATTTCTTAATTTGATTAGATCCTATATTGTAAAAATAAGATTACATTTTCTAAAGTTTTATATCTTTCATTATACTCTTATTAAGCTTTATCTAAAATCTTTTGATAGAAAGTATGATCTTTAGCATTACCATTTGATTATTATTGTGTATTAGATTAAGTTTGAATTTAAGTTGATTATTATTATTATTATTATTATTATTATTATTATTTAAGTTTGTCTTCATATTAAGATTTTATATTTAATTATTCTTATTAATTTTATGATACTAAATCGGATATTTATTTTTCATAATGATTTTTTAATTATATTAATTATTTCTAAAATTATTCAATCTAAGATTATAATATCTCTAATTCTTTTTCATGTTTCAAATTTAAAGTTTCATATTGTTTCTGCAATTTAATTTCATATTCATTTCTAATTTAATCAATTTGTTCTTATGAATTTTCATTTTTATTATTATTATTATTATTATTATTATTACTATTATTATTATTATTAATATTTCCCTTCATGCTTATTTACAATTATAATTATAATTATTTTATTGTTTTATTTAATTCACTTATTTAATCATCTTTTTGTTTATTTTATTTTAGAAGCATCTAATTATTGCTATTATCATTTCCTAACTTTTATGGTTAATTCTTATCTTATTTAACTTAATATAATTCAGTCATTCGATTTAAATTAGCAATTGAGATTGGAAATTTCAAAACAGATATTTATTGTAAATTTTCCTAATAATTAGGACATAATGAACTAAATATTTCATCAAATTTGATCAAATGTATAACCTCATATTCTGTAATTTTCATAATCATACTATCCATGATAGATATGAATTTATAGAGTTTAACAACAGCTTCCCTTAAATATTATCAAAATCAATACTCTAAAGTTCTAACATCTAATATAGTTAGGAGTTATGATATCTCAATATTATTTAACTTTTCAAGTGCTAATTTAGATTAAGAATTTTAAGCAACCCATTTTTTCACTTATTGTAATCTATATTCTTGTCTTGGGTCATTATTTCGAATCTAAAATTGAATTGTTTATTAATACGCGTCCATCAATATCTAATTTATTGATTTCTTCTTGTATTTAAAGAATTTCTGCTTTCATTGTTGTAATAAATGTATTTTCATCCTAATAGAGATTAAGACTTAACAAATTAAAGGGATTGGTGGCTAATGGATCTTAAAATTAGGGAAATCTATAAAGTTATGTATTTTCAAATTACATTTCTCCTGTTTTAAGTTTTTAGTCTCTGCTGCCAGGTCTTTATGAGGCCAATTTGATTTTTCTATTGAATCCAGCACTGCTTCCCATAATGCTACTACTATTTTCTAATTGTTGTGATTATTTGAAAGTTGGGTTCATTAATTAAAATATTATTTCAATCTTATAATAATTTTTACAATAATAACAGCTAATATTTAACATATGATCAAGTGTTAAGAATTGATAAGAAATTGAAAATTGATTTCTTTAAAGAATTTATAAAAAAAACTATGTTTGAATTTTATAGATGTATAAGTTTATCAAAATCACTCATCTTTTTTTCTATGTTAACTATGCTATATTTTGATTCAAATATCTTTTAGGAGAAATGAGAAGAAGTGATGATTAGCATGTATTAATGGAATCTTATTACATATTGAGTAGTAATCTACCTAGCATCAAAATAATTAATAATCCCAACATTCCCACACTCAAAATGAATATCATTAGTGTTTATTTATAAATTGTTAATGCTTAATCAAATTCTTAATGTGCAATTTCAACTAATTTTGCATATGCTAAAATTAAGATTTCACTTCCATAATCAATATATATAATATGATCATTATTGGAAAAAAAGTCTTATACTTATTTTAGAGTATTGTTTTTATTATTTTCATAGAAAAATTGTGGTTATGATTCAATTAATTTATCAATTTAAGTAATTAAATACTTCATACCATGTTAGTAATATTAGAAAATACTAGGATTTAGTTTAAATGACGAAGTTTCATTACAAGCAATCCCAACTTAATCTAAACATATATTATTCTCATTTATTTATTGTAAATTTTATTTTAATTATTCATCACTCACAATTGAAGCAAAATTATTATTGAATTCTATGTATTAATCTTACTGATCACTCTTTAATGATAGTGAATAATTATTGAATTCCTCTTAACTCATTAGATTTATATAATGTTATTGATCATATGTATTATAGCATACTAAATCAATATTGTGGATAATGTTGATAAACGAAGATTGGATTAATTTAAAGTTGAATAGAAAGTTTGCATTTGCAAATAATTATTAAGACAGTATAAAAATAACAAAGAAAATAATTAGAAAATAAGCAAGTATAACTATTAATCCCATCATCAATATAATGATATACTTAAACTAATTTATGTGTTATTTTTTCAACTTCTCTAATAATTTATACTTATTTTTTTTATTACTAGTATTAAGCAAGAGATTTTAACTCTAATCAGTTAATTGTTAAGTTTAAAATTAAATGTTATCAATACTATTTTCAAACATTCTTGTTTCTTATACAAAATCTATTAACATCCATTCATATAATGACTTTTTAAATATAGATAAGATATTCTCATATGTCTCAATTTCATCTTGTACTTCATATATTTACAATTTGATTACTATTTTATATAATCTTCTATGATCATTCTTTAATTTTGATATCAAGGGAACTTACAAAAACTATAATAACATAACTAAAAAGAATATAATTAACATATAAATTGTTAATAAGGATTAAAGTTGTTCTTCATTTTATACTTTTTCATCATAACAATTATCATATGCTAATTTTGGTAATTATCCTATTTCTTTTAGATTAGCAATAGAAATTAGAGTGACTTATGAATTATTAAAAGTATTATTTTTGATTTTATAAAATTAAGCCAAACTCATCTAAATAGTCTCTTATAAAGTAGGATTTAAAATCATTTAGTATTCGATATTATAAAACTAATTTACACTAAAATTTATTTAATTAATATCAGTTAATTATTCACTTTATAAATTAATTAAATTTTAGAGATTAGAATCAATTTAAATAGAATAGAATTCTTTTAAATTATTATCAATACTAAATTTATTAGATAATTCTAAACGGTAAAGTCCATGTGTAATTTATGAATAGCTTTATTGAGTGAATAACATCAATTCAATTAAATCAAAACATTCATTAAAGTTATATTATTGTTAAACTGCTATAGTTAATAGAATAATATATCCTATTATCAAAAAGAGCACAAAATATAGAAGATATTTTTAGATTTTAAAGGAAGTAGGATTTTTAAAGATTTCCATTTTCGAATGTATTGACTTATAATTTAGATCAAATATTTTAAGATTTTCAGAATATTTGACCTGATGTTCTTCTTAAATTAATTATTATGAAGCTCTACTATCTATAGCTAATTTAGAATCAGTTTCATTAAAAAAATCTTGTTATCTTTTCTTTTCTAAATATTTATTCATAGTTTTTAATGCTAAATTTCTTTCTGGGAATTTCAATTTTAATGATCCTTTCACTAATGAACCCTATGTATTTAAGCTCTATTTCTTTTGGTTTTCGTTATCATCACTTCTATTATAAACTAATTGTGTATTATCATTTAATTAATTGGAAACTTAATTGGGAGATTGAAAATATAAATCTTCATAATAATGAGATGGATGAGTGGGAAACATATAATTAACTACCTCTCCATCATGATCACTTATTTATTCACTAATATTGCTTTGAAAACTATTAGAATCTTCAGTTTATATTTATTATTCAATCAAAAGTCTTTTAGATTGAAAATTTAAACAAGCCTATTTAATAGTTTCTCTAACTTATCTTTTATAACCCATAGTAGTTAATAATTAAGATTCATTTACAACTAATTCAATTACAAAAAATTATTATTTTTGTCCAACATCATTCTTTTTATATCTATATTCTTCATAATTAACAGAATAAAATACAGGAACAGGATTGAAATTTTAGAGTGTAATTTTTTCAATATATTTTGTGTATTTATCATAATAGATTTTTTCAGCTTTTGTTTTAAGTTATTCACTATCTTCTTCACTTTATAAAGAAACTTATGATTGTGAAGAAGGTTTCATGGAAGACTTTTACATTTCTGATTATCTAGTAGTTCCAAATTATAAGGCTTAATGACTTTTTAAATGTTAATCAAAGTAGAAGCTACATAATTTTTCGTTGTAAATAGTTACACTTTATTGAGCACTAAAACTTTCACTTTCTTAATATTCATTTTGCATTCCTTTATATTAACTTCCAGAAGAGAAATTATTAGATTGAACACGAACATCATCCATTATTTTTTATAACACTTTTTCATACTAAGAAACAAATAAATTAATATCTTCTGGAATAAATATATAGGTTTCTTTATTGCTTACTATACTATTACTAGTTTCTAGATCTACTAAATTTGGATATCTATTCTTAGGTGGAGTTTCTCCATCCATTAAATATTCAATTCCAGTTGATTCTATCTCTCTAGAAACAAATGGTAATAACATCCATATTAAAACTTTTTAATAAAATTCATCTATTTTTAATAATTAATTTGACCATTATTATTAATAAACATCAAAACTTTCACTTTCTAATGAAGAATTTTCTGATTTACTTTTTTCATGACTATGATGTTTAAATGATTCAACCTTTTATGTACTTTTAGTTCTTTATAATCTATCAATCATTTAATATAATCCTTAAGTTATTCCCAATATAGTCCCATTCACATCAAATAAAATATGTTAAGTACCTTTAAATGCTACATCCTTTATTTTTTTTGGCTCTTTTCCTGGTATGAATTTTGGTTATTCTTCTTCTAAAGATTTCAAACAACCAATCATTGTAAAATCATCAGTCAAATTTTAACTAAAATTATGAGCCAAATAAACTTAACATCTAATCAAAGTTTTATCATATATCTTTGCAAATGTTTAAAAATACTTACCTATTCTAGCTGTTCCTCCTCTTCTTATATAATTTTACATAATTTCATCATGAACAGGTTCTAACCAAGTAGGCATCAAAGTATTAATATTTCCCTTTGTAAAATCTAAGAAAGCTTCTAATGGATTATCAAAATGATGAAATCCAAAAAATTTAGGAATTAAAGGTGAAATGACTTCATTTAATACTTTTCCAATGTTTGGACCTTATGCTATACAAACTTTAACAGAAATAGCTTCTCCTTTAAAAAAATTAATATTTGTTATCTCAAAAGAATTCATGCTCTTCTCTAATTATAATATTTCTCTTCTTTCTATAAATAAATAATACTATATATAAAATACCTCTTTCTAATTCAAAATATTTTCTAACATTGTTAAATAATAATAAATCAATTAAAGCACTATATTTAAGGAATTGTACATTAAATGTACGACCATGTGTATAAAATATTGGTTTATAAACTTTGATTTGATTTAAAATTTAGATTTTTAAAAGTTACAATTTTTTAACTTCCATTTCAATTTCAGAAAAATTTGAAAATTTACCAGCTAAATATTACTTCCAAAATTAAATCTTAAATTAAGTTAATTACATTAATAATGGTAATAAATTCTATTTAATTTATTCCATTTAATATAATGTTTATACAATACTTCTTTCACTTTTACTAACTTATAATTTTACATTAGATACTCTTGTATCTTTATTAATATTATAATCTTCATCCTTTTACATTTAAGCTTATAATATAAATTATAATAATAATGATATTTAAATGAAATAAAAAGAATAATCTCTTTTCTTTTAAAATAATATCTTCAATTCCTAATAACTTTTAGGTGCATTATTTCTATATTTATTAATGAATGTAAGAAATTTAAGACTGTAAATTTCTAAATTTTTTGAATCATTTCTATGTTTTTCAAATCCAATTCTAAACAAACAAGATGTTAAAATTACTGCATCTTCTTATCTTAACACACCTCCAGCACCTATTTTTTTACATTAACATTTAATTGATTAACAACGATTCAAATGTAAACTAAATTTCTAAATTAATTCAATAATTCTTTTTTTGCTTTTCTAAGCAGCCTATATTAAATCAAAGAAATCTTCTATTATTAATAATTCATAATATTAATTTACAGTATTATGATACGTCTTTAGTCTCTTATGTTATATTAGTGTTTAAAATAGATATTATGAAACTGGTTAAAGTATTAACATTATAGCCAATAAATTATATGCTTCATCAGGATTTTGTTACAAATTTGATGTAAAAATATATACTATTATATGCATAATTAATAATCTATTGTAAATGGTAGAATACTTCGAGAATCTAAATATTATTGTATTACAT